AGTTAACTATTAAATTTGTAATATTATATTATGATTTTATTAGTGATTGTTATAATTATTATATAATATAATTATTATAGCAATATTTGATTCATTGGCATGTATTTTTTGACCTTATATATAATTTTTAATTGAATATTTATATATATATATATTTTTTTATTTATCGTAATCTATTTTAGTGATATTTATTTGATTATGCATTTTCTTTCATTCTCTATTGACTAGGATAAATTTGCAACTAAAAAGTTTCAAACATTACATGATAAAATATATCGAGCACTAAAAATTCATGTATTTAATAAATATATTATTTATTATAGCCAGAAGGTATTATAATTATAGTTTTTAGAATATTTCATAATAAAAGTGAAAGTTCTAACTAATAACTATCATTAATCTCATTATTAATACCATCTGTTTACCTAAAATTAATCACACTGCAATTGACCACTCATCATAGACATGTAACCAGAAAACAAATTATAGTAACATAAGAGAAGAGATCCAATTCTGATTTGATATAATGCAATTCCAGATTGAGGCATAAAAAAGAAGATAAAAGTTAGTATAAGAACTGGTTCAAAAAAAGACTCAAGAGAAGGCCAGTACTTACTTATAGACAAGAACCTATCAGTCAGATCTAATTCACCTATTTCAACTTAGCTGCTATAGGTTATATTAGAGTTAGATTATATTAGCAATAAGCTTACCAAATTCTGAACCAACAATGTATATAAACTGTGGGTCTAGTTTGTTTTAATAATTATTTTATATATCAGTATATCTGGTAAATAAATGAATAATATAGGCAAATAAAAAATAAAATTTAGTTAACATTAAAAAAATGAATTATCATTAAATAAAAAAATAAATTAACATTAAATAAAAAAAATAAATTGATATTAAATAAAAATAATAAATTAACATTAAATAAAAAAAATAAACTAAAAAAAATTAAATAATTTAAAAGAAATTTGATTCAAATTAAAGTCACCCAAGCTATTATATACTATTGCTATATACTTAATATAAATCATGTGATCAAATTTATAATATTAATATATAATATATAATAGCTTAGATGACTTTAATCTGAGTCAAATTTCTTTTAAATTTTTTTTAGTTTATTTTTTTTTATTTAATGCTAATTTAATTTTATTTATTTATTATTTATCTATTGTTATATAATTCATTTATTTACCAGATACTGTGTACCAAAACCATATCACTAAATTAATGCTAAGTATTATTTTTTTATTTATTTCATATATAGATACTATAATCATTACTAATACATACTTTATACTTTTTGTCAGATAAGATTGTTATTAGGTTTTCAAGTTCCTTTAAAATTTTTATAAAGTAAAGAAAATAATTATTTTGTGAATAGTATTTGTTTTTCATTATAACAAATATGGTTTAAAGATTAGCTAATGTTAATGTTCTAACTATATCTATTAGTGAATTTTCAAATACTAAATTTTTCTTTATGAGCTGCTTTAATAGAAGTCAAAAAATAGTGATATTATTAGTGCTACTCTAAATCAATATCAAATCTTAATAATCCTAATATAGTTATAGATTTTTTTGTTTTGAACTTTGGTGACAATACCAGTTGGTTTATTAGCTTTAATTTGATATAGTACAAATTTAGAGTTATATTTTTTTAGGATCGATTATTACTAGTACTATATACTATCTAATTTATATTATTAACTTCATTCAGTTATCTTATAGCACCTAAGTACATGTCTGTCACATGCTTGCATACAGTTATCTTAACAACTACTTGCAGTCAGGGCATACCATTAAACTGCTACACAGACAAGAATATCTACTGAACTTAATACAGTATTCCAAATGCCAGAGGTACTGTCTTCTATAAATCATACTCATATGTTTCACTCATATGTTTTACCTAGTCTTGTTTCTTCTGCCTCTTAATCTAACTATATCTAGTATTACTTTGTTCTGTACATTTCTCATCTTTTTGTCACTGTATTACTTCCAAATTGGTTCTACTTGGATATGTTTGATTCTTATAATCTTTTCATCTTTAGTATGCCTGTTATTGATTCCTTTAAGGTGTTCTAACAATAGTCTAGGACTTGCAATAAACCTGTATCTCAAGCCAAATCTGCTGTCACCATTGGTCTTTGACCAATCTGTATCTTAAGTCAGATCTGTAGTAGGGACTGAGACTTGTTGCGCTTACAAACAGAACAATTCTGGTTATACTTAAAGAGTTTTTCTGACTCCAGTAATATTATACTACTATATATTGCAAGCTCTCAGCTTATTTTATAATATCTGCAAGACAATTTTAGTTATAACCTAGAAAGTTACACCAACCCCAATAATGCCATACTATCTTGCAGATTTTATCTCACATTGATTAGTTGATCCCAGTCTTGTTCATCATGGACTTCCATATAGGTATGATCAAGAACCTGATTTGGTACTTTTATATTGTACAAGAAAGTTATATACCAACCTTCAAAATTTTTCCTTTTATAATTAGATTATTCAGTTGTGTCAGAAGTATTTCCAATTTTTGGTTAGACTAATTCTTTATCACAGCCTATTTTTATGTTCACTGCTTTTCTCACCATTCCAGTTTTGGTTATCTTTAGAATACTCATCTAATCAAATCCTCTTCTTGAATTATAATTAAAACTTATTTGCACAATCTGTTGATTATCCTTTCAAGCAAGTACCTCACAAGTTGAGTATAAAGATGTTGGTACTGTCTATATTAGGAGGTATAAGAATGTTGGTGCTGCTCTAGTCTAAAGGACTTACATGCATAATCTTTTTATAACTATAACCTTATGTAACAACTGCTTGTTATGCATAGTGCCTGCACTCCATAATTGGGTCTCCTTCTGAAAATTACTATTTCTATTATTGTACTGCACTTGGACTTAACCACAAGGCTTCACATTCGATTACAGGCTTACAAAAGCTAAATTCTTTCAATTTTGCCTCTAGTTAGACTTAAACTATTGACCTTGACTGTGAAGGGTATAGGAGCTTAACCACTAAGCTATGAACCTATGCCTCTATTATAGGTTTTTTTTTTAGACAAGCAGATTATTATAAACAAAATACTTATCTATAAACCTGCACTTTATTGTATTAATTTTAGCCTAGCTTATACATACTTCTATAGCTAAAGTTGCAAATTCTATAAAATTTTTATATAATTTGTTAAGTATTAATGTAAACTTGTCATTTGATAATTTGCATAATAACTAGAAATAGGCAAAATTTTTACATATTCTTAACATATTTTTATATATCCTTATATATTCTTACATATTGTTAATAAATATTATCATTATAATAAAATTGGCAAAAAACTTTCAATTTAATATTTATTTATTAAAACATTCATTATTATATTGTAAATTATTGCTTGAATATAATTAAATATCAACTTTTTCTAAAGATAACCAGTTCTTTAAAGTTACTCTGTGATTAGTATATATATTTTGAATAGAAGATTCAATCATAGTGTTACTAAAAGTAATTTGATTATTAACATTAAAATTATTAATATTTTTAATTGTTTGCATGATATTTTCTTTGTTAGATTGTTCTAAAACATTATCATTGTCTACATCATCAAATTCAATATCAGATATATTTTCTTTATCAGAATTCATCCTATTAACCTAAACACTTTGTTCAAAACTATCAGTTTCCTTTTCATTCTAAATATAACTATATTTTTCTTGAGCAAAATGCCATCGAATACATGCTATTTTTGTTACATGTATATTTGTTAGCTGATTATGTTGAGTAAATGTATATTTGCTATTAATGACCAGAACCTTTCACTTTCAGCTGATGTAGGTGGTACAGATATAATTTGAGCAGCAAAAATGGCTAATTTGAGTACTTCATTTTGAAGATTATTTCAAAAATATACAGGATTCTCAGCTAAATAGTTGTTCCAATTTCTATCAAAATCAAACAGATATGCCTTATTAGTCCAATCAATGAACTGCATTCTAAATTTTGTTATATGCTTATTAGGAAATAAATATTTAAATAACAAACTGGCCTCTCTCTTAACAATAGTTGTAAGTTCTGGCCTGATGGCTCTCATATGAAAATATTTTAGATGAAGAGACTAACAAATAACAAACAATGAATTATACATTTTATTCTATCGGTATTGTATTCATGCAACTATATAGTGCCTAAAATCATCATCATCAATCAAATTAACAATTCCTTGTAGTTGAGCCCACAAATACATAGTATCAGCAAGTGTTGCATATTGTGATTCTAATATAATTAGAATTAATAAATATAGTTTTAATATTTAGACTATAATTCATAACTGATCCCAAACTGTATTATTTTTAAGAATTGATACAATGGGTTCATTAAATCATAAATTTATATTATAAGCCATATCTTTAAAAAAAAATATTAGAACTGTTATATTAATTAAATTAAATTCATTATATTAAATATTGTTAACCTTTAAATATTGTTCATTGTTTTGAACTTGTTAAAGTGATGTATAAAAAGAATTCCACTATGTAAAAGTTGAAAATAAAAATCAAAATGTAGGATTAGAAGCATGCATTCAAATGTATTGAATTGCTTGAATACTTTTTTGCATATATGAAATGATTTCAACAGCTAAATTAATCATATTTTTTATATAAAAATGATTTAATATATCACTAACCAAAAGGTTTGATTCATGTGCAGTACATAGTACAGTTAAAATTTTTGGATATTGCTATTATTATAATTAGTAATAAATATTATTACAGTATAATAAATTAATAAATAACAATAAAATAACTTACATTCACAAGCATAGTCTTCATATGAATATAATTTGCTGCACTATCTGTTACAATTGCATTAATTTTTTCCAAACCAATTTCTAATAAAACATTCTCTAAATCTTCCAAAATTACTTTCAATGTTTGACTTTTACCATGTGTATCTATAACTTTAATAAGCTCTGACTATTGATCTTTACCAATAATTATAAAGTTTACAAGATGGTTTTGACAAATATTTGTCCAACTGTCAGTTGCAATAATAATCCATGATGATTTATATAGAAATTTGTTAATAGATGTTTGAATATTCATATAAACCTCATCAAGAATATTATTTAAGAGCTTTCTTTTTGATAGAACATGATATAAATTATTTATAGAGTAAATAAACTCCTTAAATTTCTTTCCTTCTACAAGTGAAAGAGGTGCACCATCTTTAATTATACTTTCTAACAATAGTTGGTTAGATTTGTTTATATCATATAGTAATTGTTGATTACTACTATCACAGTTTGAAATGGACATAGAAGGTATAGTTGATATTTCAGATTGTGAATTCCATGAATCATGCAAATTATTTTGCTGATAACTTTGAATGTTAATAAGATAATCTCACACTTCTGAAGGAATATCTGTACATTTTTTAATATGTGAACCTATTACTTGCACAGAGTCAGATATAGGTTTAGTAGGATTACAAAAAATACATTTGGCTTTAAGCCTTTTGTTAGTTTTAATAGATAAAATGCCTGCCAAAGAGGGCCTAATGAATGACCAATAGAACCAACTGGAAGTTCATGAAGCAAATGTCGAATTTGTAGATGTGGTAAAGGCCAACTTGATATCATATATAGGTATGTATATTTTAGCACTTAAATGATCAATTAATTAAACTTATAAAATAGCCTTATATATCAATATCAATATACACAATTTATTTTGTAATAATGACTCTTAAATTATATAATAATATGTAATATTTTGTAAAATATGTAAAGGTCAAATTTTAGTTATTGCTTATATAAATTATTACATTGTTTATCTCTAATAATAACTTTACTATCTGACTTTTAAATAGAAAAAATTAAAATATATTTGAAGTTATTGTATAATTATATGAAATTTTAATTTATAGAAACTCATAATACATAAAATTACTATAATTTTGAAACAAATTATTTGCTAGATTTTTTTTTAATCAAGCTAGAGGTGTAAGCACAATGCTGTAATTTGTGTAATTATAATGAATTACAACAAAAAATGCCACAATTCATTATAGTTATGACAAATTATAGCATTGTGCTTATATCTTTAGACTGAGCTAAATAAATATGATATTTAATTACAATCATTAATTAAGAACCTCAAGTATAAATATGTTCTGTTAAAGTCTTTTTATATTTAATAAGTTTCAAATTATGACACTTTTTAAATGAAAACAATGTAAAATCATATCTGCTCAAAAATTAGGAAAGTCATATAGGCAAATTGCCAAACTTGTTGATTGTGATGCAAAGACTGTCAGGAATATGCTAAAATGGTATAACAATTCATCTTAAATATTACTGGATCATCAAGGAAGACTGTTACTCTTAGATAAAACTGCATGCGAGTGCCTAACTCAACTTGTTCTAGAGGATCACTATATGACTAAAAGAAAAATTCAAGCTGTATTGAAACAATAAGAAGGCAAAGTAATAATTTTTTTTTATCTACTTTATAGTTTTATTTATTTTATTTTTATTTATTTTAAATATTTATTTTAATTTTAATTTAATTTTAAATATTTATTTTATTTTATTTATTACCTTTATTTTACTTTTTTTGAAATTTTATATATTAAAAGTAATTTTCCAAAGAACCATTAGTTGTACTCTTAAAAAAGCTAACCTATTTGCTCGTGTTGCTTGTGCAAAGCCTTTTATTAATGCCAAAGCTAAAAAAAAATGTCAAGAATAGGTAGAAGTGTATCTTAATTGAATGACTAAAGATTGGAAAAATATTCTTTAGTCAGATAAAAAGTTTTTTAGTTTAATTCTGTTTAATCTACATCAGTATATATAAAGAAGACCAGAAGAAGAATTCAATAATAATTGTCTTGTTCTAGCAATAAGGTCTAAAGAAATTATGATATAGGAATGTTTTTCGTAGTAGGGTCTCGTCCTCTTGTCTGTCTTTATAGCAGTATCACAAGTGTTTCTTATTATAGAATACTTAGTCATTATACTATTCTTATTTTTCAGGACCAATATCCTAACAGTAATAGAGTATTCCAACATGATAGTGCCTTGGTTTACAGGAGTACAATTGTTAAAAAGTATCTAGCTAATAAACAAATTAAAACATTAAACTGGCCTTTATATAGCCTGGACCTTAATTCAATAGAAAATCTTTGGTCTAAGGCTAAAGAAAAGTTTTGAAAACATCACCCAAGACCTGGTAACTTTAACAAGCTTGAAAGGATGCTTAAGAAAGAATTGAAAGCATTATCTCCAAGTTATTTTAGACATCTTGTTGAGAGTGAAGTAGATTATATTAAAGAGGTATATAAGAAAAAGAGTAGTCATTCATATTATTAATTTTGGTAAGTAATTATATCTTCGATGTCTTAAATAGTTGGATAATAAGAATCAATTTCTTAAATAAAATTTGTTGGTTACTTAATAAAACTTAAATAATAACTATTATACTTTAACATGTTCAAATCGATTTATTACTTTTAAATTATTGTCAGATTCACTTAATTATTTACATTACACTTAAAGTTGATCTGTTAAATTTATATTAATTACCTAATCCTAATTAAATTAATTATCTTATATATATGCAAGCTACTATATAAATTGCCATATATTATCTGATTAGTAATAAAATAGCTGCACAATATTGGCATGCTAAAAACAGAAACAGGTATTATGTTTAAAATAAGCAAACATATAGGTAAAATCAAAAAACAGTACTAGCAATGAAATTTTACTATATCACTAATAACAAAAGTTCAATAATAAAATCTACCAACAACTATGGCACCAATAGTAAAATAAGATGCATTATCAACAACTAATCACACAATCTAACATCTGCAAAAAAACTACATCAAATTGTAATAAACACCAATTATTCAAACAATACTTACTTGAAAAAAAGTATAAAGTATTAGTAATAATTACAGTATCTATTGTTAACATTAAGGTTTTACACATTTTTAAGCATAACTTTTGATATACCATCCAAATTAGATAAAACAACCACTATTGGATTCAGCTTACTGAGATGATTCTAACAAGTACAAGATCATGTGATTCTGATTACAAGATCAGGATGATTTTGATGAAAAGCATTAATTTTAATATATGCGACTTGATTCTGATTGGCTCAAATTACTGTGCTAAAAATCTAGCATTTCTATCGTTTCTAGTAGATCTATCATTTCTATTAGATCTATTATTTCTATCAGATCTATTAGTTCTATCATATTTATTATTTTTATTAGATCTAATATTTTTATCAGATCTATTAGTTCTATTATATCTATTATTTCTATTATATTTACTATATCTATTATATATATTATATCTATTATATCTATTAGTTCTTATTACTATAA